TGACTCTGTACCTCACAACAGACTTTTGTTAAAATTAAGATCTTTCGGAATAAACGGCAGACTCCTACAATGGATTAAATCTTTTTTAGTGGGCAGAAAGCAACGCGTTACAATTAACAATACCAGCTCTGCATGGGTTGATGTTCTCAGTGGTGTTCCTCAAGGTTCTGTTCTCGGCCCGCTCCTCTTCATTCTCTACACAAATGATCTCGCAAAACTCACTGAAACTTCTGAGATATTTGCCGATGATACTAAACTTTTTTCTAAAACCTTATCGCAATCTAATTTTGTTGATCTGCAGGATCGTCTACGCTTGGTATACGAATGGTCAAACACTTGGTTACTTAAGCTAAACACTTCAAAATGCTGCGTCATTCATTACGGTCGAAACAACCCCCATTACAATTACTTTCTTCAAAATAACCAAGGAATCAACCAATCTCTAAGAAGTTCTACTAAAGAACGTGATTTAGGAGTCATTTTTACATCTAACCTCAAGTGGAGCGCTTATATTCAAACAGTTGTCTCTAAGTCCTTACAAATTCTCGGTATGCTGAAAAAGACATTCACTTTCATTGATGAAAAAATGGCTCTCAAATTATATAAAGTATTTATAAGACCACATCTTGAATATGGAGTGTCCATTTGGGCTCCTTTTTTAAAAGCTGATATGGCTTTGGTTGAATCTGTTCAACGCAAAGCTACAAAATGGGCTTACAGCTTGAGGCATCTTCAATACTGCGAAAGGCTAAAAAGATTAAACCTACCATCTCTTGAGTTTCGACGCCTTCGATGCGATTTAATCCAAATTTTTAAATTAATACATCGTTTTGATATAGTTAATGATAAATATCTACCAAAATATATTAACTCCGTTGTCTCGTGGTCACCATTCTAAAATAAGGCGTGAGTATGTTCTAAACTGTCTTCCAAGATATAATCATTTGTATAATAGATCAGCAAAATACTGGAACAATCTACCAGAGCAAATAACTTTGTACTCCACTGTACTTTCTTTCAAAAATAGACTAGACTCCTGGTTGTGGAAAAATTTTGGAACAAATATTTATAAAACTGGTTGTTTATAGTGGGGTGTTTCCCCTGCTCGCTGTATGTGTACATTCTATGTAAATTTACGGCTACAACTATAATAATAATAAAAGTATTTTCTTGTGAAAATTGATAGAAGTATTGTGTTTTGACAACTATATACAGTTAATATACGTCACAACCGATTAGAACTAGGATCAGTAAAAAATTAAGGAACTTTTTAAAAAGATTTTAACTAAATTCATGTTAACGCCGATGAGCGGAATTGATCTAAAGACTCCAAAATGGTGTTCTTTAGATTCATATTTCGATTCAAAATGGTGTTCTTTAGATTCATATTTAGATTCATATAAAAAAAAAGAGTTTCTTTAAATATTAAAAATACCTAATGCTAGGGAGTTTAATCACGTGACTTTTTAGGTTCTGCAACTATTTATTAATAATATGTATGTATTTTTAATTTTTTTTCTAATTGTTAATTAGGGTGGGTTTTTGACATTTCAACTGGTGATTTGTAAATTGCCCCCGTTTTACTAACCTTAGATAGCGCACTCAAAGATATGTGCGTTAGACTATTTTTTTATGTGGAAAAAAAATGTGCACGTAGATGGTCTTTACTTGTATAAAAATATAGATATAGAATAATTTTTTTTTTTTTTTTTTGTATATATTTAGGTGCTCCCAGTCCTTACGGTCTTATCATATAGCACCGCGGGAAAGCATTTAACAGAAAGTTTACGCCTCCTTCCGTACCAATGTCGCTTGTCTGGCTTGAGCTGGCGTCGAACATCGGACCTCTGGGTTCTGAGCCAGAGCTCTAACCACTGCGCCACGGCTGTTCTCATAGGGTGATATATCTAGTTTTAATAGTTGGATAGGTTTATAATTAGGGTGATATATCTAGTTTTAATTGTTGTATAGGTTTTTTTATTAACTATATTCAAAAGAATGATTACTGAAATAATTTTTTTTCAGTTTTACAGTATTACTATTTACTTACTGAAAAGTAATAATAATAATAATTGTTATTATTATTATGATGATGATGATGTTGATAATGATGAGCCTGTTAAAAGCTACTTAAAATCATTGTAAAAATAGTAAATAACACTTTATGTCTTTTTTTAAAAACATCCTTTTTCTTTTAAAAGCTTCACGACTTGATTCTTGAATCCCTTCATGTCAAGAGATTTAAATTCATTTGGCAATTTGTTGTACAACTTTATCCCATTGCAAAAGATAGACTTAAGTCCGCTTTTATCTATCGAATTCATCTTGTAGCAAAAAGATTTTAAGTTTCATTAATATTTGCTGACTCAAGAGCTGCTTTGCTTACATCAGTGACTTAAAAAAGAAAGCAGTCTAGATTTTCTGCAAAGATTAGCATGTCTTTTGATGGCATGACTGCAGGTTTAAAGCTTCATATTAACTTTGTGTTCAATGTTGTTTTATATGTGTTCAAATTTATTTTATATGTGTTCAATGTTGTTTTAAAAATGTTCAATGTTGTTTTTACATGTGTTCAATATTGTTTTTATATGTTTTCAATGTTGTTTTATATGTGTTCCATGTTTTCTCATCACTACTATAAAGATTCGCACCGAAAATTGTCAACGGTCATGCTGTATTTTACTTCATTTTTGAGTTTTTCCTAGATGCTAAAATCATTGTGTTCCTCATTTCATTGTAATTATCGTGAACAAAACTCATTCCATCACGTTCTGTTGTTGGAAGCTTGTATCCTTACTGAAATATTGATACAACTATTACTAGTAATTACTTTTATAGATATTCCATCTGTTGTGTAATGTCTGTAATGATTTCTATAAGACATTTTTGGTTCATTATCTTTATTGTCTTTAGTCTCTTTTCAATTTCCTGTTCTTTTTTCGGAAGTGTGTCTTCAGCATTTTTTGCAGAGTTGCGTGAACATAAGTAAGTGTATTTTTGCAAAATACACTTACTTATGTTCAAAAAACAATAACAATTAAAAATAATAATGGTAATGTCAAGATCTATTTAATCTACTATTTTTTATTACTTTTCCAATTAACAGAGCTTTAATTTAAATTTATGCAGAAATAAACATTCAAAGTAACTCATTGCACAATGAAAAGCAATATATTATTTGTCCTACAAGGAAAAAAAATAGATTGCTCACACGCGCAAGTTGTCATGTGCGCATAAAAACATTTGGATTACCTTAATTTTGTCTAAACTTGAACAAATCAATTTATATGCCAGAATTTAATATTTTGCAAAATCTGGAATGATCTGTCGTTGTTTTGTTTTAGTGACTGAACGAACTAATTATTTGACATAATGGCTTCATGACAGCATTTTTGTCACAAAATATTCTACCAACTAACCTTCAAATTATCTAGAGATTTTATCACTGAAAGAAAGACGTAATAGTTGTGACAAAGATAAATACAAAAATGTTGCTTTAGAAGTTGCGGTGGACAGTGGGACAAGGCTTTAGTTCCTACTTTGCAGATTCAATCTGTGGTGAACCGTGTTTACTTCTTACTTCTACCGTGTCGCTCAAAATCCAGTTTTAAACGTTACGCTGATTTCCAGAAGAGCTTGGATTCCTTCTTTGACATTGTGTCATGTAATTGCCTGATATTGCACAATGAACCTACCTAGCAAGTGACTGTTTCTGGCAAGTATCCTAGAGAGTCAAAAGTTCCATCAATGGAATAATTACTCTTACTGGATCAAAGAAATTCTCGTCGTATGTTTATTCAGAGACTGATATTAATGAATATCAGTCTTATACTCTCCTTAATCTATGTAACGATTAATATGAATATCAGTCTTATACTCTTTTAATCTATGTAACGATTAATATGAATATCAGTCTTATACTCTCTTAATCTATGTAACGATTAATATGAATATCAGTCTTATACTCTCTTAATCTATGTAACGATTAATATGAATATCAGTCTTATACTCTCCTTAATCTATGTAACGATTAAAAAGCGTAATATATTGATATACTTTCCAATTTAAAATTCGCATCTTATAATTTTATTAAAATTTCATGTTAATTTTAAACAGCGTGCCTATTAGGCGTAATTTATTTCATGTATTTTCAAACATCATGCAAACATTTTCAAACAAACAAACAAAAAAATCATTTTCAAAAAATATAACGGGTGATCTCCCGGTTTGAAAAAATATATAAATTTCTAGTATGATACACTCCATAGTCATAGATATTTTCTTTAATAAGAAAGTAAACCAACTCAATGTGTTAAACCGTTTTTTGATTAAACTTTTACACCAAAATAGCTCTGAAAATTATTTTTCCGGTTTATTAGGTAAAGAAAGTATTTATCCATGTTTTAATAAACTTTAATATTTTTTTAAATCAATTAAAAGCAAAGTACCAAGTTAAAAGAAAAAAAGTTCGAAAAATTTTTTCGAACTTTTTTACTTTTAACTTGGTACATTATAAAGAATATATAAATATATATATATATACAGAGCCGTCGCAAGTAGGTGTCACGTGGAGGGGGGGTGCCATTAAAACTTTTGACGACTAAAAAAAAAAAAAAAAAGGTCCTCGTTTTCCGAATTCCACACCCCCTATCGCGCCGGCCTTGTATATATATATACATATATATATATATATATATATATATATATATATATATATATATATATATATATATATATATATATATATATATATATATATATATATATATATATATATATATATATTATATATATATATATATATATATATATAATATATATATATATATATATATATATATATATATATATATATATATATATATATATATATATATATATATATATATATATATATATAGAATAGAATAGAATAGAAAAGGTGCTGTACACACTTGAGGTGTGTAGAGTCTTAATTACGTAGAATTAAGACTATGACAGCCGATTACAAAAATTAGTGTTCAGAAACCGAAATAATTATCGATACTGTTTTTAAAAATGTTCAAATTATCTTTATCTAATATCCATTGTGGAAGAGAATTCCAATCATTTATAACTCTGTTTGTAAAGAAATGGTGACGAATTCTTGATTTTGTAAATTGTCTGCGTATTCTACAATTGTTACTTCTACTAGATCGCTCCAGCTCAAAATTTAAAGGAGGATGGTGAAAATTAACAATATCTTTTCCTTTTGAGATCTTATACATTTGAATCAGATCACCTCTTCTTCTTCTATCAAACAAAGTTGGCAATTCAAGTATCTTTAATCTTTCTTCGTACGACATCCCCCTTAAAGATTCAATTCTCGTAGCCCTGTGTTGCACGATTTCAAGATTGTCAATGTCCTTTTTCCAAAATGGACTCCAAACTGTTGCTCCATATTCCAAATGGGGACGTACTAACGATTTGTATAGTAACTTTAATGAAAGTTCATCCAAATACTCAAAAGAGTTTTTGATCATGCCTAATTTTCTGTTTGCTTTACCTATAGCTGAATTAACATGATATTTCCACTCTAGATTATTTGAAATGAAAATCCCAAGATCATTTTCTATCATTGTTTCTGTTAAAACAGAGTTGTTCAATTTATATTCATATCTTGGATTCTTTTTGTCAATATACATGACTTTACATTTTGATTCATTAAATGTAATTAACCAATCTTCAGACCATTTAACTAACCTGTTAATATCCTCTTGTAATATTTTATTATCATCATAACAATGATTGATTGAAATAACTTTGGTATCGTCTGCATATAATTTAGTGTCTTTAATAATCCCTCTACTTAAGTCATTAATGAAGATTACAAACAAAAGAGGTCTGAGTACTGAACCTTGTGGTACTCCACTTGTAACCATCTTCCAACTTGAAATATATTTCCCTATCACAACCCTCTGTGTTCGGTCTGACAAAAATGATTTACACCAATTTAACAAAGATGATTCAAATCCTAGTCTGAATAATTTTTTCAGTAATTTCGTGTGAGAGACTGAATCAAATGCTTTTTTAAAATCCAAAAATAAAACATCAACAGAAATATCCTCTTCATACGCCTGCGTGATTAAATCTAATGTTTCTAACAGGTTTGTTATACAACTTTTGTTATTAACAAAACCATGTTGCTCTTTAGAAATTAAATTGTTTTCAATGAGGAACACCATCATATGATCTTTAATAATTCTCTCCATAACTTTACCAACAATTGATGTTAATGAAACTGGTCTATAATTTGTTGGATCTAGTTTATTTCCTTTTTTAAATAACGGAACAACGTTTGCACATGACCATAACTTTTGAATAGATCCTGTAATAAACGATTTAACAAATATTATTGCTAAAGAACTTGACAAAGATTCTGAACATTCCTTTAAAACTTTTGGGTGAACATTATCTGGACCTACTGATTTGTACATGTTTAAATTACTCAAATGTTTCTGAATAAGAGAAATACTAAAATCTGGATCAGAACATTTTGTTAAAAGAATGTCATCTAAAACTTCTTCTGGTGAGTCATCTTGTATAAACACAGAAGCAAAGAATTCATTAAGAGTGTTTACTATCTCTTGATTATCAGTAGTTATAATACCATTATGTAGCTTTATGGCTTTGATCGAGTCTTTAAATCTTGTTTTGTTGTTTATATAAGCATAGACACTTTTAGGATTGCTTTTTGAATTAAGTGCTAAGTTTTTTTCAAAATTGCGAATACTTTTCTTGACAAGTTTTTTTATATCTTTATTTAATTTTTTATACTTATTGACTTCTAAAAGACTTTTAAAACCTGAATTTCTGTTTCTAAACCAACATTTTTTCTTTTCTTTACACATGCTTTTAAGTTCAGTTGTCATCCATAGTGAGTTATTTTTTAGTTGAAAAGAGTTTTTATCTAAATTTAGCGTTGGGATATATTTTTCACATCCTATTTCATATTTTCTTAGCCATTTTTCGTAACATTCATTAACACTTAGTCCTTCAAATTCATTTATCCAGTTTATGTTATTAAAATACAAATCTAACGCTTTATAGTTTCCATTTTTCCACAAAAATTTTTTCTTCCTCGTTTGTAGTGATATTAATAAATTAGGTTTATTTTCATAACCAAATCGAAATTTCAAAATATGATGACCATGATCGATACCACCTAACGGTGGAAAATGTTCAAGAAAATAAACTCTGTTGCTATTGTCAGTCAAAATGACGTCTAAAATGTTAGTATCAATACCAAACTTTACTTGAAAACTAGGACTGATAACATTTTGGTGCAGGTAACAGTCATGTAACAACTCAATAAACATAGTTGCTGTTGTGTCACTGTCATTTATAATTTCACTAAAACTTTCATCGTTCCACTTTATGTTTGCATAGTTAAAGTCACCACATATTAAAATACCAGAGCATTTGTTATTTTTTTTGAGTACATATGCTTGTTTTAATGATTTTATAATGTCAATACACTTTTCACTATTACTAAGGCCTGTCCGGTACATACAACCAAATAAGATTTGCTCTTTGCCAACTTCAATCAAACACCATACTTGCTCAATATTTTCATTTATTAGATATTTTTCATTTATTTCATAAGATTTAATATTCTCTTGTATATAAATACATACACCACCACCACGACTAAATTGACAATCTTTTCTAAACAGATTATAACCAGGAATATTAGTAGTAGACATTGCTGACCACCAAGTCTCACAAGCAAATATAACTTGAGCTCTAAATCTGGATATATCATCAATGAATTCGTCAAATTTATTATTTAAAGAGGTCGCATTTGTATACCAACATGTTAAATAATCGATATTTTCTGTTTTTAAACCTTTTTGAAGGTCTTGATTCATTTTCTTTACCAGCTGTGTATTAGCACTTGAGTTCAAATGATTACTTCCTCCAGTGTCTGCATCAGGGTTATTTAATTGGTTATATATATATTGACAAGGTGTATGTAAAGAATGTTTAAAATTATGTCTGTTATACTGTGATGACTTGAACAACAATTGCTATTTGTTTATCAACACTACTTGTTTATTTCTAATTACGTGATAGCTTTTAACTTGGTCCCAATCGACTTTTAGGTTGAGTGGTTTATTTATTCTCTACATTTATCCCTGAGTTGTTCATCCAAGTTTCTCTGAGCATCAGTTAAATCAGGATTTACATAAATACCATTAAACTTACGGTATGATTTTTTTATAAAGTCATTTCTCATGTCCTTATTTCTTAACTCAACAATTACTGGTGCAATACCATTTTTAGATTTTAATCTAAAAATACGAACCATATGAAGTTTATCTATTGATACTTGATCCAATAAATCTAATACTTTGTTTTCGTCATCTTTCTTTATATCTGCGCCATCAGTTTTATTGGATTCTTTTAAACCAAAAATAATTACGTTCTTCTCTCTTCGTTCGATTTCTTTATTTTCATTCGAAACTGTATTAATAATATCAATCTGAGATTGAGTTTTATTTAATTTTCTACCTGTTACAATATTCCAAGCTTCATTCGGAGCAGGAACAATAACATTTACAACTTTGTTGTTTAAATCTTCATTCTTTTTAGTTAAATCAGCAACTGTTAATACTAATGATTGTATTGTTTTTTTCAAATCTGCTACAGCATTACTAATCTTTGATTCATATTCAATTCTTAGTTTACTCTCCAGTGCATCCAGAGCGTCTTTGAATTCTTTTGCATTAACCATAATATATTAGTTATAATATAGTTAACCTTATTTACGCATTAAAACAAGAGTTAATAATGCGTTTTTTCCGTATACATGTATATATATATATATATATATATATATATATATATATATATATATATATATATATATATATATATATATATATATATATATATATATATATATATATATATATATATATATATATATATATCCGTATATATATATATTCCGTATATATATATATATATATATATATATATATATATATATATATATATATATATATATATATATATATATATATATATATATATATATATATATATATTCTTCGAAAAACTAATTCAATCGTAAAAATAAATTGATACTAATTTTTCTAAATACAAAAAGGTTATTGTTATTTTTTTATTTTATTTTGTTTTGTAGAAGTTTTGTGTTTGCCTTTTCGTTTTGTAGTTTTTGTTTTCATTTTGTAGTTTTTGTGTTTGTTATTTTTATTGTTGTCCGCTCTTGTTTTTAATTGAGTGTTTTCATATTTTTTTTGTCTTATTTAATTTATTTATAGCTTAATCGTTATTATTATTATTTTTAGACTAATTTAATTTACGCTTGGTTTTATTTATTATTATTGGTTTTGATTTTTTTTTTGTTTATTTTATTTAGGTGTCACTCCTAATAATAGTTTTTAACTATATGAGTGACACCTAACCTAGTTTTGTAAAATTATAAAAAGCTTGTAATTTTATAATTTTTGGTTTAATAAATAGATAGATTTAAAGTGGGAATATTGCGGCAACTGCACACCGAGTTTTTTATCCAATTTACCGGTTCTCGGTTAAAATGTCGAGCGTTAACATGTTTATTGGATACGATATGGCACATGAACTAATGTCAAATTTAATGTGACGTTTTTATATTCTAATTTTTTCAAATTTTATTATTATTACAATAGTTTTAGTAATAGAATAGTTTAATATTCCTTCAATAGATCAACTTTTTAAATATATTTTTTTGGCAATTTAATAAAAAATGCTGTATTTTAAAATTATGTTTTAGTATTTGTAATTTGTGTAATTGATTTGTGCTTTTTAAAAATACAAAAACAGTCATTTTTATATTTGTTAAAATAATATAAGAATTAGCTGTATTAACTATATATTCTAGTTTATGTCGTAAAATTTTAACTTTGACATTAATAATTCATGGAGTATTTATAAAATCAATTATTTTTAATTAGGTATTTTAAAAATTTCACTTAAAGTTAAAAAGAAAGTTTGATAAACTTTATTTCATTTTATTAGGTTCTGCCTAAAAACTTAATATTGAATTTTTAGTATAACTTATATGATATTACACTTTGCTATTAATATATGATAATGCTATAACTTTAATACATTTATTGTTGAGGTTTTATATTTGATCTATCTTAAAATTTATAAACTTTTTATCCAAGTTTTTAAGATAAGTTTTTTTCCACTTAAATGTTATAAAATAATTTTTTCTATAAAAATAAAATGCAAAGTTTAAAAAACAAGTTAGGAGGACTCTAAAATGGTTTCAAACTGATTAAAGATGTGTCACCTAAAACACACTACCAGTAATAATAAAACACAAGCAAAAAACTATAAATATAATAACTAAAATACAAAATAAAAAGATAATAACAGTAAAAATAAAAAAAACTTTTGCAAGACAGAAATAAAAAAGTGAAGTTAAAATAAAAAAAGAAGTTGAAATAAAAATAAAAAAAACTATAAAGTCAAAAAAGGTAAAAAGAGTAGTTTTTAAATTTTAATAAAACTGCTATTTTAACTTAATTTGCACAATTGACTTAATTAAAATAAATACTGACTTATTTGAAATTGAGAAAAGGAAATTGACAAAATATTAAAATAATAAGAATTCGACCATAATTGGAATATTTTAATAGTTAAAAACATAAAAAAGAAACTGAGAGCATAAATTAAAAATTAGAAAAAAAAATTAAAAAAAAATCTATTAGGCAATAAGCTTAACTCTTTTTAGCAATAAGAAATCTTTGTCCTTGTTTTGGCATTGAACTAATTCTATATTACAGGTGAGACTCTTAGCGACTCATCAAATAGTTTTAAAAATCACAATATTCGGAGTAAACTTTTTCTCAAAAATTATATATATATATATATATATATATATATATATATATATATATATATATATATATATATATATATATATATATATATATAATATTTAGATATAATTGTTAAACTCTTAAAAAAACAAATCTTTGTTGGTTGTGTTATAAATATTAAATATTTAATGCTAGACTTATATTTTTTACCTTAGACAATCTGGTTATATACTAGACTATAAAAAGACATTAAATGCATCCAGAACTGAATTGTTATAATTTGACTTTAACTTTATATCTTCCTATATTTATAAATGGTTATGTACTTAATGAGCCATCTACCCTTCATCTTCTAGAAATAACTCTTAATTCCGATCTTTCTTGGAAACCATATATCAATATGTGCTTGCCAATTTCTTACTCTGGATTCTATTCTTAATCTCTAGAAGTATCAAATTTGTATGAAATACTGTTACTATATTTAGATTAGATCTTCAAATGATGCCCTTTCTCTTTTAGACAAGGTGCAAAAACTAATTGTAAACATAGTTGGATCTGCATATGCAGCCAACCAACCATTTTCAAATCTTCGTAATGTTGCTTCTCTTTCTCTTTTCTATAATGGGCGCTGCTCTAAAGAGCTCGCGCCTCTTGTGCCACCTACTAAAATTTATTCTTGTGTTACTCATCATTTAACTAATTCTCTTCCTTTAACAGTGACTGTTCCTAAGTGCTTCAAAAATTCTTATTTGTCTATCTATTGTCTATTTGGAACATCAGATTTTTGGAATTTGCTCCCTTCATATTGTTTCCCTGATTCATATAATTTGTAATCTTTCATGTAATCTGTTATTTGTTATCTTGCTTTATAAATCTCATCTTTTCTCTTCAAGTAACTTTTATCTCTTATAGTGGTTGCTTGCAGTCTTGTAGGAAGATGTTTTAAAAAAACTACACTATTATTATGTTAAAATATATTGATAAGTTATACAATGCTAAGATTTTGTTACATTATTTAAGGGCAATTAGTTTATATACAGTTAACAATTTGTTTTTTTAAATTATGAGTAAACTATCTTTAAAATGAATCTTATAAAGTTTACTGGGAATGTTATAATGGATTTATAGTAAAATTTTTTTATTTTAATTAGTAATAACTTTCATTATTACAGCTAACAATTTATTTTTTATAGACTATGAGTAAGTTATCTTTAAAATGAATCTTACAAAGGTTACTGGGAAGGTTATTAATGGATTTATAGTAAGATTTTTTACTTTAATTAGTAATAACTTTTATTATTAAATTATTATGTATATATATATATATATATATATATATATATATATATATATATATATATATATATATATATATATATATATATATATATATATATACATATATTCTGATTCAATTAGATTCAAAATATCAAGCCCATGTCAAGCTTTGATATTTTGAATCTAATTGAATCAGAAAAATGATTCGAAAAATCTTCATTTATTTGAATCAAATCAAGGTAGTTTCATTTTAAATTATTTAGTAATCAAGGTAATTTCATTGTAAACTATTTGTTGATCAAGGTAATTTAAGTACAAACTTTCCAACATTAACTTTTTACACATTTTATTATTAATAAAATGTTTTTACTCTAATAATTTTACTGCATAAAATATACAACTCCTATTATCATGCTTTGTAAATTAATTTCATATTGAGCAATTAAATTGAAAAAACATTGATTTATAAATTGGCTTTTAATTACTTAAACTATTTTTAATTTCTAGTTTTCTACATATTACGGCATTAGTTATTATTTATGATGTAAAACGTACAAAACCACTTTAGATGAACAAAAACCCTAGCACAACTTCACATCTATGTAACATAACTAGTGACATTTGGTCTACAAAAGACTTTTTTAAAAAATGTCTTTTTTGAACCAAAGTTAAGTATATTCATGCTAAGGTTATTAAGCTAAACTAACTAAAAAAAACTAAATAAAAAATAAAAAATTCCTTTATAAAAAGAAGACATATAAGCACTAAAAACAAGTTCAAAAAACTCAAACTCGATGCAAAAATTACTTTTTGCTACGTTTTAATTGCATTTGAAATAAATTACTTTAAATCTTATATTTTTAATAGTTTTATAAAGTTTCAGATTTTCCATACTTTGATAGTGACTATCAAAAATGTTTGCCAGATTTTCCAGCAAATATACAATGTTATGGTCTTAAAAGGGAATTAATAAAAGTTAATTAAATTAATAAAAGTTATTTGCCCCCTTCTTTGATTGGTGTTACCCCAAATCCTTCCCCTCACCTTACTGAGTGGGGGGGGGGATCCAGACTACATACAGACCACTGATTACCTATAATGAAATAGAATTTAAAAAAATAATGGCTTCATTTTGAAACTAGTTTAGATACTTAGATATTAAGTATCTAAATATCTAAATTAACTTAGAGACCTTCATTTGAACCATAATGACGGGCTCTAAAAAGTTACTGCCCCCTTTATTTGTACCCCTATCTACTATAAAGACCAGATCAAGGAGAGGACAACTAACTATATCTTTCTTTTCATTAAGAAATTACTTATAATTAGTTGCACCCTTCACAAAGACCAGTTGGCAGATTAGAGGGATACTGGTTTCTAGTAACACATTCAACCGTTGATAATTGAAAAATAGGGTTATTTAAAAATGCTGGCATTTTTGGTATGGGTTTGACAAGTTTATAATGTTTGCATTTTCAGATAGTTGGGTCTAATGGTCTTATTTGCTGTTAATCTTAGATCAAAACAAAGTGTTAGAAAAATTTACAAGCATCTCAAAATGGCTAAAAATTGGGCTTTTTAGGCAAGTGGACATTTTGCTTTTAGATATATTTGAGTCCTTAACTGCAACAAGGTGGCTATATTTTGCCCATTTATTGCAGACAGTAGTAGTTAATCAGAAAACCTATCTGTAAAGACTTGTGGATGAATAGAATAATGCTACACTTAGTTTCATTTTTGGCATATTTTAGCAATTTTAGGATTTTTTCCAAAGTTGAGGAGGTCATAATTTTTTTCTAATTTAACACAAGTTAATAAAAAACAATTTTTTAAAGAGAGAACTATCCAGAAAATAGTTCTAGAAAAAAAAAAGACACTTGTTGAAAGTGAGAAAAAATGAGACACTTGTTGAAAGTGAGAAAAAATGAGACACTTGTTGAAAGTGAGAAAAAAGTTATACAGTTCTAAAATAGTCTGTCATGTTTCTAAGGCTATAATTTCTGAACCATGTACTTGGAAGTCTTGAAATTTCAAATTTAACCTATCTACATAATGCACATAACAATATGTAAAAATTAGGAAAATCAGGAGATGGTGACCCACAGGCCATTGGTTGAAATATAATGATTTTACCTGGTAATCTTTTAAATAAAATTTCTGTATTTCACTGATAGATATCAACAAGTTAAGGTTGATAGTTCTCTATCAAACTCAATACGCATTGCAAGTGAAGTTCCACAGGGTGATAGGTCTCACATTGTTTTTTATTATTTTTTGACTTCTTAACTGCCATACCTAAATTATCTATTTAAACTGTTTAAAACTTTATGTGGATGATATAAATTTGTATAGATCATACCGTGACTTGGATCAAAGCCATTTTTAGTAGTTGCTATAAATTGGCTTGTACTCTGGACAGAAGCGTTTGCACTTAGATTAGCACCTTCCTCATTATGCAAAGGTATAAAGGATAACTATAAATTAGGTTTGTATACTTTGGCTTGGTCTTCCAACCCAAAAGATCTAGGAGTAACAGTGAACTATAATTTTAACTATGAAAAACATTTATAACGTCTTTCATCAAGCTAACTCTAAAGCATACCTAGTATTGAAATATTTTAAAACTTGCGACCCTTGTATCCTAGTTAAAACTTTCACTACCTATATAAAACCAATTTTAGAATATTGTTCTCCAGTTTGGTTACCACACCAAATCAGATTGATTAAATCAGTTGAAAGCGTTCAACAAAAATTTACTAAGAAAATTAGGAAACTTAAAATTTTTTCTTATCGTAATCGATTGCTTGGTTTGGAATTACTTGAAGTTTGGCGCCTTAAATGCTACTAAATAAGATGTTTTAAAGTTTTTCACAAACTGGTTTGTACAAAACAATCTATGTTCTTTGCAATTGACTGCTAAAGCTGCACCTGGGGTCATATTTATAAAAGACGTAAACAAATTTGTCACCTAAGTTCAAGAAAATTTAGTTTTTCTTACCGAGTTACTGACATGAAATAATATGACCTTGAAAAGAAAAAAATATTTTAACATTTAAAAATAAAGTTAACTCTTGACTTCCAATATTTATTTTAAATGCAACAACTGTTTGTTTCTTTATAATGTAATGATGCATTTTGAAATTATTTTTGTTGTGATATATTTTAAATTTATTTATAGGCACATTGTCAGTTTCCATTTTTGTATGTGTTTATGTGTTCTTTAGAAGATGTGTTTGATATTCTTATAAATATCAATCTAATCCAATCTTGCTGTAATAGAATGCAAGAATTTTAGAATTTATTACAATAATTAAAAATTCCACAAAAGTGTTTATTATAAACACTTTTGTTTTTTGCAATAAAAACAATATTTGACGTAAAAAACGTAAATATTGTCCTCAATTTTTAATTTGGGCGGTGCCCAAATACAGTCGATGCTGTCGAAAATGGTCTAGAATAGCCCCTGATATATATATATACATATATATATATATATATATATATATATATATATATATATATATATATATATATATATATATATATATATATTTAAATATCTTTGCTTCCAACAAGGCTGCAAGCAACCACTAATTAGAGTTGAAAATTACTGAAGAGAAAAGATGATGATTGTAGAACAAGATAACAATTGACAGACGACTTAAAAGATTGCAAATTATATGAATCAGGAAAGCAAGTTGAAGGAAGCGAATTCCAAAGAACTGATGTTCGAGGAGAAAAACTAGAGGAATAAGAGTTTTTAAAGCACTTAGGAACAGTCACAGAAAAAGGATGAGACAGAAAAAGTCACAGAAAGACGAGTACACAAGAATGAGTTTTAGTAGATTGTACTAAAGGTGCTAGCTCTTTAGAGCAGTGCCTATCATAGTATTTGTAGAAAAGAGAAAGTGAAGCAACATTATGACGATGTGATAATGGTTAAAGGTTGGCTGCAAGAGCAGGTCTAACTATGTTTATAATGCGTTTATGTACCTTGTCTAAATAAGAAATGGCATCATTAGAAGATCTGCCCCAGATATGGCAACAGTGTTCTATACAATGTTGGATTTGAGATTTATAGAGATAAAGAATAGAATTTGGAGTAAGAAAGTGGCGAGCTCAATAAAGAGATGAAACTTTAGTAGATGCTGATTTTGCGATGGGTTTGATATACGGTCTCCAAGAAAAATCAGAAGTAAGAGTTAATTCTAGAAGATGAAGGGTAGATGACTTATTGAGTGCATTACCGTTCATAAATATAGGAAGGTCTAAATTGCGATAACGATTGGCTGAAAAAAATAGTTTTATCTAACTTAAAGTTCACTGAATTAAAGTTTTGAAATTTAGGCATAAATAGCCTGTACATGGCATACAATGGCATACTTTGGCAGGGTTTTTGAAGCTCAATATTGGTCACTTAAATGTACTTTGTGTTTTCTTAAACAAAACCAAATTTATTTAGAAAGTATCTGCTGTCACATGACCTATTTAGATAGATGCATCAAAATTTGTTAGAACATTCATTCATGAAAAATATCAAAAAGAGTATCCTCAAGAGGACTATAAAAAGTTTCTACATCTCGGCGCACTGATGATTGGTCTTGACATAAAATTAATGATATGAAAACCTGGTGCCCTGCACAGAGCTTTGTGGATGGCAAAGAGTATTTACTCAATGAAGACGGAGCTATTTCTTTTTCTCTTCTTAATGCCTGTATGGTTATGATGCACCACTTATGGTACTTAAGCCTGGAGCTTTCCGCTCTTTTCTCCCTTCATCTGTCAAATGATGAAAAGAATCAGCTGGTGGCAAAGATGAGAGTTTATTGAGTGCAGCATCTAATGAAGACCCTTCCAAGCATATTCACAGATCTACAAACCTCTGGAACATTTTTCAGAACTGCCAGCATAGATGACAGTTTCCTTGATCTCCCAGTGTAAAGCTAGCCAGCTGAGTCAAAGTCATTCAAACTCATGGAAGCTGCTGTGAAAAGCTTGGCATGTGTAAATGACTGCGCTGAACATGGAGACGTGTTAATTCAGGCATTTAATGAGACATTCACTAGAAGCGAGGAACATAAGCAATATCTGCTCTAAGTGGTTGAGAAACAACCACTTAGAGCAGATATTGCTTATGTTGTTATATATTTTTTTTTTGGGGGGGGGGGGATTTAGGACACCAGTCAATGTAGCAGCAGTCAATGTAGCAGTCAGTCAATGTAGCAGCAGTCTTCACACGTTATATCTATTTTTCAGTTGATGTAGTATCATTCCTTGTATGTTCTATTTATTTGTCTGTCAATGTAGCAGCTTTCAATGTATGTACTATCTATTTGCAACTCTCGTAATTAGGGTTGGTATTCTGCAATGCCAACCTAACTGCTGACCTTGAAGTGTCTATTTCGATTATTGCAGACAGTAGTAGTTAATCAGAAAACCTATCTGTAAAGACTTGTGGATGAATAGAATAATGCTACACTTAGTTTCATTTTTGAGATTTGAAGTGAGATTTTTTCTTATTCTGAGGGCTGCTACTTGTCAGTCAATGAAGCAGCACTAGTTGCATTTTCTAACAGTTTGTCAATCGATGCATCAGCACTTCTTTCATTTTTTACCTTTGATCATTTGATGTAGCAACACTCCTTGCAAGTTATTCTTATTTGTCAGTTGATGTATGTAAACAGTATGAAAATAAAAATAAAACATTCAGAAGTAGTTGAATATTTTTTTATAAGCTTGTTAATTCCTGTCAACAACATAATTTTTGCTTTTGTTCCATGCATATTCAAACTTTAGAGCTAACTCAGCTCTAATGTTAGAATATGCTAGTAACGTTCTATAGATTCACTAATTTAATATTTTTTCTACTTTCTAACTTAACTCTTTGACACTTTTAGGAAAAGAAAACTGTGACTTCTCTTTCTAACATAAGATCTCAAGAAAAAAATGATGCAACAAAGATAAAAAGAAAAAAGGTGTGTTTAAATAATTTTATATTGATATTTTCCTTTTTATTTTGTCTTTTTTTTTTTTATTACCAGTAAACTCAATTAAAGTTGTACTTAAAATAATACCAAAATCATATATTCAAACCATTCAAATCCGTTGTTTATAATATTGTCAAAAGCAGTTAATTGCCCATTTTTACATTCAATTTATATACAGTATTCAAATGATTTCACAAGAGCAAAACTGAGGTTGACTGGGAAGGAATTTGTACTTTTTTTTTTCAAAATGTGTATACAGTTTTGGTCAAAATTAAGTTTTGATTAGAAGTCTCTATGTGGTGTGACAATTTCTTCTCAAAACAAGAATTAAAGTTTAGTGATGTTTCTGGTATATACATTTTTATTAAATTGCATCTAACAAAATAAATTGAATTATTAAAAAAGTGTTCATACACAAATTTTGAAGGTAACCCTAATTAAATTTAATTTCCTAAAATTCTCCACATGTCTCCTCATTCATATATGAAAACAATTATTGAAATTCAGTTGAGTTCAAACATTATTTTCACAACATGTTTTATTGTTGTGACTATAACTACCATGTGTTCGAGCATCAGTTTTAACCTTAAAGCAGAAAAAATGTCAGCTTTATCACCATTTATTATTATTAGAAAACAGTTATCCAATAACCAATTAAAAAAAGATCAAAATATAAAGTAGTTAAATCATTTCTCTAAAATCAACTCATAAGGCATTTTAAGAAAATTACTAAAAGATATTGTTTTTTTAAAACATTTTTTTAAATTCAAAACCATCCACAGTCATTCATATTAGCTTATCTTGCAAAAAAGTAAATTTAAATTTGACTTTTTTCACAACTAAAGTTTTTCCTCACTTAAACTCCTCATCATCTTGCAAAAGTGTTTTCTAGAACTCTCAATTTATCTAATTAATCTCTAAATTATTTAACAAGTGCTCCACTAAAGATTTTTAAAAACTCTGGTGATTGCTCTGACCCAACTCTCTCTGACTCAACTAATTATTGGCCAATCAATCATTTTTATTACTTTAAAAACTTCATATATCTTAAGTCTAACAACTTGCTCTCTGAAATTCAATATAAATTTCATTCCTCTTGTTCTACTGCTGACTTATTAACCATTATAACAAAAATGTTCTCTTATGTATTAGGTGAAAGCAGTGAGACAAGTAAGAAAGCAGCGAGACAAAGGCTATTTCTCTTGAAATATCATAGGCTTTCAATAAATTCTGGCATCTTGGTCTTTTCCTAATCTTGCTTCCTTGTGTTTGTGAATGTTTTAAAATTTACTAAATTATTTCTTTCTAACCACAATACTAAAGTTGTCCTTGATGACCAACACTCTCTTTCATTTCTAGTAACCTCTAGAGTACTACAAAGTTTAAACCTTTAGTTCTTCATCTATATTAATAATTTTCCTAATAACATGAGGTCTTATTTTCTGATGACACAACTATGCAGTCAAGAAGGTTACTTATTTTTTTTTTTAATTGCATCTCTCAATCCTTAACTTGAAAGCACTAATCTTGTTGTGTAACACTATTGTAAAGAGAAGCAATTTGTTAAATAAGATCGCTGCAAGGAGAAACAATTTGAACACAGAACTTAAAGAGACATAAGGTGCGTATGAACCTCGAATATCTTGATTGTAAGCTGAGTGCTTTAACACTAGTTTAATTATTGATATGAGTCGTTGAGAGCAAGGGTGGTGTAAGTCAAGAAAATTGTGATTGGAGTTAAGTCAACGTCCGAATAGTTTATTGCTCAAGCAATTATTGGTAAAAGAGGTGTAAGTCATATTTATCATTTTCACCCCTAGATCGCAGCATGTACTTGATTGTGCTTACTGAACAGCTGGATTTTGCTTTAGCAAGAGTGGCCTAAGTCAAATCAGAACTGAAATTGACCACATTGACTTACACCACCCTTGCTCTCAACGACTCATATAACATTAACATGTAAAATGTTTAACATTTAATATTTACTTCTGTTTTTTTATTTTTTAGGATGAGGATGACTTGACACACATTGACGAATTGGATGAATGGCTTCAGGTACTTCTTTGTAATGTTGTTTTTTCTATCATAGTCTTTTTTAAAAGAAAATTAAACTTATTATGTTATATATTCATTGTAGATATTTTTATTTAGTCATTATAGATAGATTTATAATAAATAAAACCATTATACTAAATAAACTTGAGTTTGAAATTTAGCCAAAACAGTTAATGAAACCTGAAAACCAACTTGTTTTGACTGAAGCTGAGCTAAAAGAAGAGTTTACAAGGATATTAACTGCAAATAATCCTCATGCACCTGACAACATAATTCGGTTTAATTTTAAGGTATATTTTTATTATTTTTTATTTTTGTATTATTGCTTGTTAAAAATTGCTGATCAAAGTTACAATTTTTTAATTTTAGATTTTTTTATAAACTTTAACTTTCTAGCCATTGAATAAGAGTATTCTTAGTTAAAAACACTTTATATTAATGATTATAAAGCATTTCAAATACATTTTGCATCCTTAAAGATTTGTTTATAATGAAAAAAAAAATTAAAATTATGTAAAAAGCTAGTTAATGTTTAAGCTAGTTATGTTAAAGCTAGTTAAAGCTAATCATATACATTTTTCCTTACTTTGTGGCTCTCGAGTTAGCATACTCCATCAACAGCTCTGAAGTAGTGTAGTTTTGAAGGGATTTAAAAGTACTGACAAATTTGTTTGTTTTGCTGCAAATAATGCTTAGCTGTATTTAAAGCTTATATGCTAGGACAATAATAATAGACAAAGTTGTATTTGAAAATAACCTTTCTTTTATTAACTGCTAAGTGTGGCTTGTTCCAAAATTTATTTACTTGCTTAGATGAAATTAAGATTTGTTGTCTACAAATTAACATTTGTAAACATTTGTTTCTAAATGTCTTTATAAGTGAGTTAAATATTGTTTTACTATTAAATATTTACTGTCCTATTTTAACAGGTAGTTTTTCTAGTTAATCATGAAGATTTTATTGTTAATTTTAAACATACTATCAAAATGATAAAAATTAGTAATAATAATAAGCATTTAAAAATAAATGTAATAGTTTTAGCTTTTTATTTTCAAAAATATTTAAACAAAGTTTATTAAATTTGGCATTAAGAAGTTATTTACAGGGATTGTCTTTTTCGGATATTTCCGAAATTCCAGATATTTTTCTAAACTTCTAGTTTTTCCCGATATCTAAAATGTTTTCCATACATACAAGTTTAGGTATATATTTTTGTAATATTTTTTTTTTTTTAAGGTTTTTCACTCAGCACTTACAAAAATTTATAAAAACTAATAAAAAATTGAAACATCTCAGCCAAAAGCAAAATTAAGAGGAATATAAGGGAATATATATTCTGGGTTTTTTCCAGATATTTCACCCAAACATTTTTCTGGATTTTTAAAATATGACCTGGATGATCTATGTATTTAAAAGAACTTTAAAAAAGTTACTCTCAATTTTGTTCGGATCTTTTTAATTTTCTTTATAAAATTCTGTACATTTTTAACTATAATATTACATTTTTAACTATAATATTATTAAACTATATATAGCAAAATGAAAACTCTTCATTGAACTTTATGTGCAAACTATTTTTTTTAACGATATTGTAAACAAAAATAAAATAAAAAAGTAATGTAAAAAGATATATTTTTTGTTTTGTTAATTTCATTGTTAAAGAATGTTTAAATTGCTATACATATAATTATAGCTGGAGCAAGTAATTGCATTACAAAAATTATGGTACATTACATTACATATACAAAATTAATGGATGGAGCAAGGAAAAGGCACATTTTGCCTTATTTTTAAGCCCCTTAAAAAAGGTTCTACACAACCGTGACAAAGCTATATATAAAAATAACAATAAGAAATGAAATAGAAAATAATTACTCGAAGGAAGAATTAGAAAATAATCAATTGTTAATAAGTGTTAAAATGCTTGCAATTACTAAAATGTTAAAGAAATATATTTAAAAAAAAATGTTAAAGATTTAGTAATTTAAGAAATATCTTTTCTGATTTACATACATTATAGAAATAAAATTCTTTTTTTTTTATCTACGTTTAGTGTAAGTAATTGTTTTAAGAATTATGCTGTGTCTGAAATGCAACATTTATCATTAGCATTATTTTGCAGTTGTTTACATAACTTTTATTTTTCTCTATTTAATTGAGTATGCAAGACAAGTGTATGGCATTCTTAATTTGGAATACCATGTGCGAAGTTTTTAAGTAATTTATACTAAAGTAATGAATACTCTTTTTTAATGCCTGTTATTAAAGTGTATTCAGAAAAATGTACATAGGCAAAAAAAGACAAATATTAGTTTCAATTATAAAAATTTTCCTGGTTTCTAATCTAAAAAAATGTGTGTAATTTTTTTAGATTAGAAATTTTATAAATTTTTATTTTGTGATAGCAAAGTTTAAAATTATGCTAATAATTCCAAAATCTTTTTATCTTTTTGTTTATATTTTATTTCAATTTAGGAGAAGCAGTATAAACCAATAGCAAATGTCGAACAAATAGTGTTCCATTTCTCTATGGAAGGGTGTGTATATATTTCTCCTGCTTTTATTTGTGGCCTTTTTGTTTTATTTTATTTTCTTTTACATGAATTTATTTATATATTTTGGTTTTTAATTAATGTTGTGTTTAAAAAAAAAAACTATTGAACCAAAAAAAGCAGTTGGTAGTTTTTTTTTTCTTTAAAAATTTATTACTATTGTGGTTGCTTAAACCACTATTAGATCAGGTAGAGCGTTGGGTAATCATCGTTGCTTTCCTTGCCTAACAACATGTGGTTTATAACACATGTCTACTATGTTTTAAATCAAGTCTACATTGAATATTTAAAATACATACAGTTTTGATATGTAAATAATTCTTAATAATATTCTTTTTGTATAATTATTATGAACTTTATAAATATAATATTAAGAATAATAAAATATTTTTAATATATTTTATTGTTATTAGAAATCTGATACACAAAGATTCAGAGGAGGCTCAAAAGCAATCTTTATCAGGTAAAAGTTTTTTAAAGCATTGCAATTTAAAATAAATAAGGATTTTACTGAGTTTAAAAAAAATAAGGATTTTGCAAAGTTTCAAATAAACGAGGATTTTACTGAGTTTATAATAAATGAGGATTTTACTGAATTTAAAATAAACTAGGATTTTACTGAGTTATTTTTCATTTAGATGACAAACACTCAATACATGAAGAGAATGATGAAACACATGAAGATAGT